CTAGGATTACAGGTGTGTACCACTGCACCTGGCAGTTTACAGATTTTTTTTTGAAGATTTGAAAGTGCTCAGTTACCATTTTGTGCTAATTGCCTGAGCAAGTGTATAAAAGGGAAGAAACGGCCAAAGTGGTAACTTCCATCCTTTTATCCTGCTTATGATCCCTGTGCTCATTGCATCTAATTTAGGACAAGGCAATGACATGCACATGAAAATTGCATTGTGTCATCTTCACAATTGTGCAGAGAAGGTGTGAGGAAAGGCTTCTTGGCAGCGGAAAGTTGCCTGGAGGTTGGGGGAGGGGAGGGGGTAGCAGGTGGCGGGGGACAAGATCAGCGTGGTCTGAGCAGGGTCCAGTGGAATGGTGTGAATGCCTGGCCAGTCCAGGGGGCTTCTCTGGGGGAGGCTCATGAGGAAAGGCCTATGCCATGCATAAGAGTTTGACTTTGTCCCCAAAGCGATGAGGAGCCAGTAAAGGCATCTACAGAAGAGTTGGAGTACTAGGGATCAGAACCCAGGGGCATTTAACCACTGGGTTGCKGTGTTGGCTGCATGGAGCCAGGTTGGGGTGGCTTGCGAGAGCCTGACAGGCAGCAGGTTAGACTGTGGGAACGGAGAGAAGCCCCAGGACAGCAGAAGAGCCTGAAGGGGGGTAGGAACGTGATCCCAAAGTGAGGCCTCGGCCATGTTTCAGTGGGCGTGAAGTCGGCCTAGGCTGGGACACAGGCACAGACTCATAGCACTCATTCTCCTCAGAACTCTCTCTTGCTTGAAGCTGTATGGCGTCTTCATGTGCAAAGTGTCGTGAGCCTACAAGAGCTGCTGGAAAGGTAGTGCACTAGTGAATCTGTGTTGCTTTGACATTGCTGTTTAGTAKGAATTATTTACTTCCAAAAGCACCTGGAGAAGCAATTGCCTCATTGTTTAACGAGAACATTAGTTGTTATTGAAATCATGTGTGATTTTTTTCCACACCACCTGAAWCCAAATGGTGGTGTGACAGTGGCTCACACTGATTAAAAAAGGTCATATTTTTTTCTTATTTCAAAAAAAGCCCGGGCTATGGGGTGGCTCAGTGTCCTHGAGCTGCCTGGAACCTGTGAGTTCCTGGGTTCTGTATRCAAAACTAAACAAAACCTCTAGATGAATTAAASAGGAAAATGTCAATACATAAAAGCCAGCCCTGGGAGGACTTTCGTGATYTTGAAGTGGGAAGCCTAAACGTGACAGAGCCAGAAGCTATACAWGGGTAGTAAACTTCACTACATGAAGTTTAGTGTGCACCTAATATACCTTGAGATGAGTGGAAATGAAAATAGTCTTCCAGAATCTGTGGAACACAGCTAAGGAAATGTTTAGAGGGCAATCCATATTTTGTAAAAGCCTATATTTCAAAAAAGAATGTTATCAATCTAGGCTTAACCTCAGAGACTAGAAAGAGAAGAGCAAGTTAAGCCAGATGGAGGGAGAAAGTAATAAGGGTTATAGCAGAAACCAGTGAAGTAGGAAACAAAGACATACAGAGAGTATGTGCAAAGGAGCTGCACATGTCCCGTATGTGTCCCATCCCTGATCCCCACAGTGTTCAGTGCCGATAAGTGAACCATTTGAAATTGATTGTTTCTGGGTCATTTGCAGCCAGGCAGAACCCTGTAGCTGGTCCCTGGACTTTTGGGGCAGAAAGACTAGGCTTCACAGTGGAGTGAGGGTTGCAGAAAATTGCCARGTAAGGGGAGGCAGCCATGGGGTCAGGCAGACCCAGATCCACTGTGYGCTGTATCCCCAGCCATCCTGACATGCGGGCTGTGGTGGCGTGGCTCTTCAGGAACCTGCGCCTCCTGTGCCAGCAGATAGACACCTCCTGCCCATACCTGGACATCGCTAGGGCTGTGCTCTCTGGTATGTTCATAGTTCCTGAGAAAAGTACCTTGGGGGCGCTGGGGTTGAGGCTCAGTGGTAGAGTGCCTGACATGCATGAGGCCGTGGGTTTGATCCTCAGCACCACATAAAAATAAAATAAAAATATAATGTCCACCTGAAAGTAAAAAGTGTTTAAAAAAAAGTTCCCTCGGCCAGTGGGAAGCCGAGCATCCGCCATGCCTGTGAGCGTGGGGCCCAGCAAGTTCGTGGTGTCCTGAATTTGCTTTTAGCCTCAGCAGTTGGAGGGGGTTGGCAGAGGCTGCATTTTCCATTAGTGGCCAGCTCTGTCTGCTCTGTGAGCCTTGGTTGCCTGCATTGCCTGGRATCCTCCCTTGCAAAAAGCTCCTTCCTGGTGGGATGAGCTGCWTGTCCTGTATTTGCTGTGGGGGGACCATCCATGAGCCATCCCTTGAGATCTACTTCTTTGCATTAAGAGAAAAAGCCCTTAATATAAATTTGATGTATGCTAAGTACTTCCAAAATAGAGTGAGGGTCAGTCTGGCTTGG